ATAAGCTTTTAAAATAAACCGTCTTATACAGGATGCTATCTATCGTTTTAGCAATTTTTTTTTTCGTAATGTTCATTTAAAAAAAATTAAACTATGGCCATGACTTCAAATCTAGATGAATCGAGATTTTTCAAAATAAAAGTACTTTACTCGAGGTTCAAAATCAAATATTTGAACGCTCCTCGTATATTACGTGTGTTTTACTGTATTTTGTTAGTGCATGTTCAGTTTTAGGGGTTGCACAAACTTTTATCGAGAACAACTTTTTGTCTAAAAACCCTCAATAAAAAAGTTTCCCATATGGTGCATACTTTGGGGATGACACTGTATAATTGACATTTCATTGTTCAATCCCTTTACTGATTCATTTCCAGTTCAGGTCATTATTTTAATTTCGAATAACTCACCAGAATAATTCGATCCGGTTAATAATACAGACAAACAAATCATTTTGATTTCATTCTTTCTTTCATAGATTTCTGAACTGTTGACTCCTTTTCAGACAATGGAAATCAAAATTTGTAACATTCTGGAAATGCGTGGCTTATCCGGATAACTACCGTTCTTGTTTATAATTTCTTTCTGTTAGACTTTCATTAACGGTTTTACTAGTGAAATCACAACATGGTACTAATTGCCCATCAAACACTTTTGAAATATTTGCTGCTCGATTGAAAAACTGTAGAATGTACAAAGAATTTTGACGAAATCTCCCAGACGTAATCCAAGTTCCGATTCCAGTGGCAACTGTTGCACTTGTAGTTTAAATTGCATGCAGCTCTCCCTTTTCAGTGGGCTAGATTTAGACATTTGATAATCATATTTTGTAGATAAATTCACCGAGATACCTAACCAAGGTTTGGTTGATTGGCTTTGAGTTTGTGCATTTATATTATTCATCTGAAATGTGGCTTAGAATATTTTTTAATTTTCTTATATGTATATGTTTGAAAATTGATCCTTGATAGTATTCTTCTAGAAACTGAGGGAACAAATTAGTAGTATATTTATGTTCTGACAGACATATTCCTGTTTCGTGAAAACCTGTAAATAAAATAAATGAATGAATGAATGGTTTGAATAAATGGTTTGATTTTTCAGAAATTTTTTCATATCTATATTCCTTTGACCAAATGGAGATACAATATAAACAAGTTTATTTTTCAGTGATATTCTAAGTGGGACAATATTGGTTTTTTCTGAAATCAACGCGACAATTAGCCATAACAAATTTTCATGAACATTCTTTTGAAATATCAATATTTGGAAAACTAAGTTCAGATAAGGTATTAATTCCATTCATATCAAACAACAATTTGAATTCAATCCATCCTCTGTGAAATTCATCTTTCAATAAAATTAACAAAAAATTAGACTAAGAATTAACAAAGTATACCAGGTGTCAACGAATCTATTAGACAAGTCATAACTTCTAGACTATTAGGTGTATCAAAACGAGATTTGGTACAGATAAATGGTATGTGGAGAGGAGAGTTTTCACATATTTTTCACTTTCCGGTCACTTTATTACCTCATGTTATGTAGTAAGGAATCACACGTTAAAAGGTAAGACCTCGTTAATTCTTAGCTCACACAAGTTTCGACTTCTGAGGGTTGTCGTTCGTAGGGGTGCGACAGCTGGTTAACGGAAAAACAGATTTTTTTTTAAATGTCAATGTATTCAGGCAATTATTAAAAGTTCCTCCATTTTGTAGTAGTTGAAGATAGTGACATTATATTCTAGGGTTGCGAAGCTTTTGTCAGGAGCTTCAAAAAATGTCACAAGTTCCCTCTTTCCTTTTAATTTTTTACCCAGATGGCGCCTAGTCGCCATCTTAAAAGTTCCATTTATAAATTTCACTTCAAAATAAAGTATTCATGCATTACTTTCATTATCTGTTTAAAATATGTTTAAAATCTGTTTTTCCGTTAATCAGCTGTCGCCCCTATACAAACGACAACTCTCAGAAGTTGAGAAACTTGTGCGAGCTAAGGACTAACGAGGTCTTACCTTTTAACGTGTGATTCCCAAATTTCAATTTTTTGAGTTGTCCCGTTCAAAAAATAAAAGGGGGGACATTAAAAAATGCACACTATGTAAATCAGAATAACGAATTATAATGAAAAAGTCAAATCTCATACTGAACTCAACAGGAAACAACCTTGTTCATGGTGATTTATTTGACGATTTGTTTACACTTCCATCATCAGTCGACATTGTCGCCATAGAAATATTACAATATTAACCATTCAACTTTGGACGGTAGCCTATCGGTTCGACGTGGGTGCTTTGTTCACTCAGTCAATCAGCCAAAGTGTGAGTCGATAGTTCAAGCCCCAGACTGAACGATCGATTTTCACTTGCTATCGTCCAACCCGTGTTAGGAATCACACTTTGAAAAGTAAGACCTCGTTAGTCCTTAGCTCGCACAAATTTTGACTTCTGAGGGTTGTCGTTCGTCAGGGTGCGACAGCTGGTTAACGGAAAAACAGATTTTAGAGAGATTTTTTTGAACTTGATAAAAATCACATGTGAAACTAAACTACTAGGACATGTATACTTACTGAAAAATAGTGATAATTCCAAAATGCTAACATCTTTTATTTAATTGTATATACATTTTTCGTATCACAAGTCATAAATGCAAGGAAAAACACTTTCTGCCAAAAATTTTTGTTTGTAAAGAAGGCTCAAAAAGTATTGTGTATATGGTTCAAAAGATGGCGGATGAGCCGGACAATACTATATTTATAGAACCGAATGAATTGATTAATGCAAAATTGATTTAATTTGATTCCCATACTAGTATTGATGCATTCAAATGAGAAAAATTCAGGAAATTTTCTGTGGAGATTCCTGCACTGACGCCTGTCGGATATAATCCAACGCCCTTCGTGGTATTAGCCAGGGAAGTAGTTGTTTTCTGATAGGCGTCAGTCCATTCAACCTACTGTGTAGGTATGTATATTCGAGACTGGCTTGAGCGTTCAAAGTTCATTTCTTTAGATTTGTTCACTGCCAGTCTCGAAGCATAGCCCACTGACTAATAAGAAAAAAGTAATATTGACTAGTATAACTTGACATGAAATTGTCTCAGATGAATGTTTTTTTCAGATAAATTTCGTTATTTTTGAGCAATTCCAATCGAGCAACAGACAATAGATACTGGTCCTATGATCTCTTTGTTTAATCACGCTGGTTATGTGATGGTGTTACTATAGAAATGTCAAATTATTTGTTACAAAATTCAAATTCATGGATACAATTTTGAGGTTTATGATATTATTTTCGATTCAACTTGATGCACACGGAATATAACCCTTGATTATTCCACGAAGTGATCTAAACATGATTTCATGAATTTGGAGACAAGTAAGATTTTTCTTTTGATAAAAGGCAATCGTGAGGAAATAGACCACTGTGAAAAATATGTTGAAAATCAATAATATACATTATCATTTGAAAATCTAAATTTCAATAAGCTCACTTGTATTTTGGAATTGTTTGATATAGCTCAGTAAAATTTGTATTTTGTGAGTTGAATTTTTTCACATGTCACACACATGTCATTAAAATGGAGAAAACTTTCAAAATAACATAATGATAATGATGTTATGTTACTTTTATTCGAAAAGGTTCATAGGTGTTGTAGAAAATTGTATTCTATACTATATAAAGTTCTTCTTGACAATTCAATTTTCAAGAGATTGTAGAAGATTTGGCAAGATACACTGTTATTGTTGCTGCCCACTTTATTGCTTCTTCACACAGAGTTTTCTTGTCGTGTTTACTATTTTGTGAAATGAAACAATATGAATTATAAATATATTATAATTGTTGTGAATAAAACAATAAGTGTAATGATCATACATCAGTCACTGAATGGATGAAAATATGAGACATATAAGTACAAATAGGTAAAATAAGATACTAAAAACATAAATAACATATTAAAACAACATTTTCATTGAAGGAAATTCTTATATCTATTTTTTAATTTTGTTATTGTAATATGTATAATTTTCCTTCCTAAATAGTCTTCGTGAATGATTATAGTTTGAATTCAATAAAAAATATAAAGAAAATATCAAAGACCTATTCAAAAAGAAATTTCAATAATATCACAGATTTATATAACAAAAATTGTGGTTCAAAAATTTTCATTTCCATTTCATATAGCTTCAATTTGATTCAGTCACTCCTGGTTGGGTCAATGTTAAAGCATTATAAAAATTAATTTTGTTTCTTCTACATCATTGTCAGAAACTTTGTTTGAAAGTTGTGTGTGCCAGTCTAAATATGTGCTGATCTCTTCTCCAGAGCTCAAATACAATTTCTACATGAAAATGGAGGCTATTGACAGAACGCTTTGAAAAACAAAATTACATACAATGCTAGTCAAATTTGAGTCTATGCATAGGTATCTCAGAAACAGTAAGAAAGTGAGTCGAATCTTGGGAAAGTTGACTATTTTTAAGTACTTTTGAACGATATTAAAAATCGACTGTTGCTCTTTTGGTCTTGAAGATTCACGAAAAAAAAAACCAGAAGAATCACCAATTTCATTTTTGACTGTATTATGACAATATTTACATTTTGGATTGGCTTTGATATTCCTGAGAAAAAAATTTGTTGATCATCAGTTGAATTAATTTTTTTCATCATGGCCCTGATAATTCACCCCATTCAGCTTTCACGGTGTTCAATAGAAACTTTAGGCTATGATATCTCGTGGAAATTGACTGGTAATGAAAATATGACATTTTTGTTGAAGAGAAATGAGCTGGCGATGATTCAATTCGTCTCATGTAAAGCTCATCCAAAGTTCTTGAGAGGAATTGCGTACCTATTCCAGAAACCAATAATTAAAATTCCAGCACATTTTTTGTTATGAAGGTACTACTGAAAGAAAATTAGATATTAACTTCTTTTAGTACTCCTATTTTGGTGAATTTTCTGATCCTTAGAATCCCTCAGTAACTTCGTATATTATTTTTTCATATTTCTAAAATGATGAAGAATTCATGATTTTTTCGGTATATAAATGAACATAACCTCACTACTATCCATAGGATTGGCAGGGCGGTATTAAACAATGATAATTTATTCGATGCTTGTCGAATGCTTGGGAATATTGGAAAGAAATATCTTCGCAAATGAAAAAAGTGTCAACTTTTTGGTATCGTTCAATAGTACCCAAAGAGGCATAATGCGATAATCACACCTATTACATCTTCAGTCATTCACGAAATCTTCATGAATGAACTCTATCATTTTGTCGATTGTTTACTGTACAGCCTCAACGAGACATTTTTCTTTCCATGTATTCAGCTCGTTCACTCTGTCATAACGAGTTGTTGAAAGAAAAACTGTTGGAAAGAGAACTACTGGAAGAACTACTGGAATCTGACCAACTTTCAGAACAGCCTTTTTTTTCAGAACATCTAGAACGTTTTGATTTTGTGCTTAAAGCCGGCATAGAACTGGAACGTTTCGGTGCCTTCCTTGCAGAAGTGGAGGGAATGGGAGAAATAGGTCTGTTCACGTTTTCTTCCGTATCTGCAGACGGGGAGGGAGGCGCAGAGATTGTGTTCGTTGAACCAACTCGATTAATATGCCTGGACCTGAAGTAACCTACAAGTTTATCTTCACTACGACAAACTAACCGCCATTTGAACAGACTTAGAATGTCGTCATTCTCATAACGAATTCTGGACGTGGATGCTCCTTCGGGCGTTTCACTTTGGGCGCGTAGTCTATTTTCAATTCTTTCTTGGATCAACCCCAAACTATTGAGTCTGTACCTCCTCCGGGGACTGGACTCATTCTCTCTCTCGAACCAGGGAACAATTGTTTTACTAGAATGAGTTCTGTCTTCGAACCTACTCGGAGAGCCTGTACTACAGCTTGGCAAGCTACGTCGTAATTCATTCTGTTGAAGAACCTCATCGGCAGAAGTAGATGGGGCAACGTCACATCGAGAAGGGTTATCACTGACATTGTCGTCATCTTTCATACGTTTGCCATATAAAGTAGACATAGGCAGACCGCGCTTCACAGGTTTTCTCTCAGAGGGTGGGTAGCTGTCTGGTTGTTTAGATGTTGACGTGAATCCGAAACTAGAGGTACTCGCCATCGCAATGTCCTGAGGAGCTGTAGGCCTCGGTTCATCCCGACTTGCATCTCCATCTACATTAGAAATATCCTGAGAGGTTGCACTATCCCCTTCGAGGATTTCCATATTTGCTGGTGAAGTTTTGGATGTGCTCTCAGACCTGGACTCTTCTAGATGACATGCACTAGGACTGAATGAACCCAATCGAAGTTCATCTATTATTGCCTCTACACTACTAGAGTCAGATGTTTGCGGATGACAACTCTGAGAGGAGGAACTGTCTTTTGTCTGGTTGAGACAATCACTGTTTTCTTCACTTTCGAAATGACTGCGAGATCTGCGACGAGATAAACGACTGCTTGAACTCGTTCTGGATTCATTTCGAACAGCTTCTGCATTATCAGTACGAGATGTTCCAGGTGAATTGTTTCGAGTTTTCTTGATTGCTGTTGAACTTTGAGAACGATTTCTAGGCCTAGACTTTCTTTGAGAACGAAGGAGTTTTTTTCTTGTGTCGTCTAGGTCTACTTCCATACTAATCGGAGGAGATGCCGCTGTGGACTGCCCTTCATGGGAGACCTCTGTATTATTGGAACGAGTTGTTCTGATAGGACTCTCCCGGGAAGAGGAGCTACTTCTTGTTGGGCTGTGGGATCGTGGATGGGTAGAAATCAATGAGGTATTCCTTAGCAGATGGGCAGAGTTGCTCTGAGATATAGAACTAGATCCGTCTGCACTCTCAGAATTGTGTGCTCTAGAACTATTCTGTGAAGACCTACTTCTGGATGAACTGTCTGACATGGGAGGGGTGCTTCTTCCTATCAAGTCTTGTTCTATGCGGGAACTATGGCTACGTGAGCTCAAACTAGATACTTCTTGTTCCTGTAAACTACTAGAACGACTGTTTTCAGGGGAAATATTGGGAGGAGATCTACTTATCGATGGGCTATGTGATCTAGAAGAATTGCTTTGTTCTCCGAGTTCGCCAGAACTAAGGCCGGGTATCCCAGATTCCCGTTCAGATGGAATTAAACGAATCCGTGTACCATCCAGTTCGCTTTCCTGCAGTAGTTCAATCGCATTCATCATCCCAAACTGAGAAGTAAAATATACCCTTCCTTCATTTCCCTGATCGGGGTTGACTGAAACGAAAAAAACCTCCCCAGCTCGGTTCATATGATCTCTGAGCTCCCTCCAACCAATATTTGGTGTTAAGTTTCTAACAATCAGGCAGCTGTCGCCATAGAAAGCACTAGGAGTTGTATCAAGTGTAATACGTTGTCCCAGAAAATTTGCAGTGCTTAGCTCGGATATGGCAAGTTCAGCATTGGCTGTACTTCGGAACTCTACGAAAGCATGCTGGTTTCTAATGAAAAGTACCCTTATGGGGCCATAAGGTCTGAAAAAAGACTCCAAGTCTCTGTTATCCGTCTCACTGGGAATTCCAGTAATGAAAACTCTATGTCCTTCCATTGGGGAGATTGATATTTTTCTTTTTCAGGTTTCTAACTCTATCCTGAAAACAAAAAAACTGAATAAAATCACACAAACCTTGTGAGGTTTGAAAGACAGGGAGGTGTGCATGAAAGTCTCGCTGTAAAAATTGCCCCATAATATTTCACTAGCGGAAGATATAAAGTGTGTAAGAGCCAAATGGAATAAATTCATTATTTCGGTTACTGTACATATATAAAAAAATCCCGAAACACGTCGAATGTAAATTATGATTTGACATTCATCAACATAAAAATGCCACTCCTCTCTTCAACCCCCTTGGAAATACAGGTACAACCCTCAATTTTTTAAATGGAAAGTATAGGTTTGTGATATATCGTTCGAAAGGTCTCTCAATCCCCTATTTGAAAATGTTATCGCTTTCAAATTTATTGCAAAAATTGAGATAAAATAAATTAAAATCATGGGGTTACCGAAATTCTATAAGATACAATCAAAAACTGAATGAAAACGTAATGAAATGTAGAATACGAAAAAGAACTATGTACGTTAACAAAGTAGATGTTCAAAATGTTCACCGCGAACGTCTTGGCTACATCCTAATCTCAAATAAAAATGTCTTATAACATTATTTAACATATCAGGCGTGACCAACCTGATCGCAAGCGTTATTTGTTTTTATAAAGTCATTCAAATCTGAAGGTTCAGTTCTATACACATTGCTCTCCACATATCCCCATAAAAAGAAATCTAATGATGAAAGATCAGGTGATCGCGCAGGCCATTCAATCGATTCTCGCCTCCCTATCCACCGATTGTGAAATGTTGTATCGACGTATTGCCGGACATTAACTTGGTGATGTGGTGGTGCTTCATCCAGCAGGATGAACTTGAGGGTTTCCTGGATGAGGATAAACATTTGCTAAACTTAAGTTGCCCTCAATGAAAAAGGGACCTGCCAAACCTTAACCTTTTGAGGGTACTGCGTGTGTTTATCTCTCATCCCGTGAAGATTTTCCGTTAACCAGTAGCGGCAATTTTGCCGATTAGCATGACCGTTAAGAGACAAAGTACACTCATCAGAAAATATAACGTCTTCTGATTGGATGATATTGTTATCCAACATATCCATCATTTGCTGACAAAAATAAGTTGTTCTATCAAAAGCCTTCTCCATGATCTCCTGAGTAGGTATCAATTTATAGAAATCGATTTAATTTTCTTTTAATATGTTTACCATTGATATATGGCTAACATTGAATGTAGTAGATGCCTGTCTTTTCGATGTATGTGCGTTTTCCTCAAACTTACATCTAATTTTAGTTCATCACTTATTGCATTGCCAGCTGCTTCTTTTATCTGCCCCATATGACCATCAAATTCTTGCTCCGCTACTCTTTATTATCTACACATCTGACTTCTCCAAGGTTTTTAGTTATTCAACATCCATACATATGCAGACGACACTAACCTGTATTAGGTACTCCGATGGAGTTAGTCAGCTTATTGATCATGGAACATCACTCAATAATGATATGAAAAATCTTGTTCAGATTTCGGAGCATCATTGTCTTAACCTTAATCTGAAATATCTGTATTCAGACACTATCTTAGCAGGTCTTTTAAAATTACTCTTTCAGACGTACTGATTCTATCCTGTTCAATTATTGCGATGTCGTATATGGCCCTTGTATCAATTCTATAACTACTACAAGAATTCAGAAAGTACAGAAAGCCTGCATTTCAATAATATTCAGCTTGATTTACAGAGATCATGTGACCCCTTCAATCAATCAAATAAACTGATTAAAAATGCAAAACAGAAGAGAATTGCATTTCACTTGTTTCATTCACGAACTGATAAAAAAAATCAACCTACTTATTTGGTGAAAAAACTCCTTCTCAGATATCAAATACATTCAAGAAACCTTAGATTCAACAATAATTTTGACATTCCGAGTCATAACAGCACCATCTATGAACGGTCCTTCACGTATCATGCTGTAATAATGTATCATTCATTCAGTGAATCTTTGAAAAATTCATCACTACCGCTATTCGAAAGTAAACTTAAAACTGAATTGCTCAGTCAACAGCGATCCAAATACAAACATTTGTATTTAATTTTACTTTTGTTCTGGAATTGCCATTTATTTTTTGTAATTTTTTTTCAAACGTGTTTGAGTGGAAGAATATCACTTTGCTAAACTCCGGCACGTAAAATGAAGCCTATTTATTATTATTATAAATATGCGAGCTACTTCCTGTTGTGTTCGTGTTCTATTTTCGTAACCAATCATTTGTGAAACTGTTATTTCACGCATTTCCGTTAATCTAACCATTTGTCAGACTTGAAGTTAACGAACTTCAAACTTAAATT